CAAGTGTTATACGTGTCCAAAATTACGCAAGCGTTTGAAGAGGAATAATTATTGCTTTCCTGAACAACCGAAAGCAAGAATCTCCACACACAAGCGTATAGACTGTAGGGAAACAGAATACAAAGTGTGTCTCTAGCGATGTCACGGGTGGTGAAAAGTTGATCATTTAGTTATAAAAAAGATGAGCAAGGCGTTTCAAGCGGGTAAATATGTCAACAGGACGTTAGGGGATCTACAGTCTAGACGCCAGTACTTTCAGCGTCTTTGTCCTCGGTGAACGATGCAAAAACAGTTATTGGATATTTATCACGAGAACTGTACTCATGGACACAAGATCGAGTGCTCTGCGACTTCACTGCCAGGACCAATAGGAAGCGACCATATTTTATTAAAAAAATCCAATCATCATGACTACTATGATATTGTTGCTTCTTTTTATTCGAGTTGAATGAGATTTGGTAAGCACCATTTCAGCGCACTTGGTTAGAGGTTTGATCACCGTATCCGATGTGCAGTAGAATTGACAAATCTAAGGCTGTCATCCGTTTGTTAGCTTAAGCGAACAAATGCAGTGCAATCATGGGGTCCAAAGCCTTGTTTTTAAAGGGATTACTTGAGTATTTCTTATGTTATCCGAGGTCAGGCGTATAGAATAATAACAATAGAGTTTGAATACCTCTCAGATCATTTAATTGCGGCAGATGATCTTGCAGCTATCCGGTTGGCTTCCTGTTCTAAAGTTTTGAAGGACGCTGCGGATACAAAACCTGAGCTTACATGTAACCCACGTTTTTTACTCTAAGCTTCCTAGTTTGATGACGACATGTGTGTTTCTGTTGATGCAGGTAGGACTATTTACCAAGAGAAGGATGCAACTTCCAAGCAGTTGATAATGACTACTATGATGTGTAGTGCGATATTTCTCGCAGTTCCTCTTTATTTGACGAGGGCTAGTTTTCCAACAGCGAGCCTTCCACAAAACTTGACTGTTTTCTTGCTATTTAATCGGTTTGATTTAAGGACATATATCGATGTGGCACATTGCTCATGCTTACTGTAGGTATAGTACCTAATTCAGGTGAGCCCAGATAGTGAGCTTCAACCTGAGATAACTCTAACAGTGAACGTGTAAGACACAAATGACTGATATTGTCTGTATTCAGGTGACATTTCTTACCAGAGTTTAAATGAAGCTTCATACCTAATACATATTCCTTTACGATTCAAACGTGATGGATACCGTATGATCTTAGGATCACCAACCTGATACCACGCCACCCATCTCTCCACGGCCAATGAAGACGGAATGTCTCGTGTAGTTGACCTTTTGAGGTCAGATTTGGAATCCAGACACACTGGGCAACATCCGGCGGATCTCGAAGTGCTATTCGGATAGCTTTTACTGCTAAAATGATGAACCTTCAGCGAAATAAGGTGACCAGCACGATTACGTATTCAATCGTAGGGAAACTGACACAAAATAGGAATATAAATTACAAGTTGGTTAGAAAAATCAGTGACGATAATCAATTTTGGAGTTGACTGAGTTGTATTTCGGACGATTAAAATATAGTTGCTCATCAGAAGTTAGCCGAATATCCAACCATTCGATCTGCATTTTTGTTTGGTTTAGATCAGAGAGCAGTTCTTTCTTTATGACCAATGAATGACATCATATTGTTACTCAACACCCAGTAATTTCCCTTTACACCCTTTCTGAAAATTGGTTGCGGCTAACTTTGGTGCACCTGTCTGACTGCAGGCTTGAAGTACACGTAAACAACGGGCTAATTTTAGTCACAGCTAACTAAAACAATGGGTTGGGGTACACTGGGCATGCGTTTAGCGACCTGCACTTGGCTCCACAAGGGAACCGCTAGAATTAGTTCATTGTCTTATTTCAACAGTGACAGTTGGGACTACATATGGTGTACGGACACACGGATGTGCGAATCGTTGCTTACAACTGTACTTGTTTAAGCTGTTTTCACAAGCTAACCTGAAACGCAACTGGAAAAAAATTGACAGAGATAACTGAGGTTTTTTCCGGACATATCGTCAATCGTTTGTGCAAAGTAGACAGCTCAAACTGCATAAGCCTTTTAGATGGAGAAAGTGTGGTCAGTAATTTTATGATATTTAGTTCATCTATCAAAATCACATAAACAGAAATCCTAATTATATCCATAATTTTAGACTTCATACGGGCTCAGATCCTCAACAAATTATGCCCGACTTTAGTTAACTTTGAGATGTGGATTTTGGCCGCGTATTTGATTTTTCTTCCATTTTATGGTAGAAAAACTGTTGCGTTTTCTGATCATGTGAATTTTTTCCGCACTGGAATTCGATGACAGCTCATTACATGTTAAAACATCGATTATGATAAAGTTACCGCAGGAGAAATGCGTATATTGATGCAACCTCTTTTCAGTGGGATAAATTAATCTAGTCAGTTGGGGAATTATTTATTGATCGACCCACCAGTCTCATCAATAATCAAAATGTACAGTGTTTAGCTATTCAGTTCGGGCAGTTCATTTGAAACTCCGTCATTCACACCACATAGTTGTGTTCCAGGAAATCAATCTGGAATTGTGGTCCTTTCGGGTAAAACTGGCCAACGCAGCCATTTTCCAAGATTCTGTAGATCATACGTTCTTCACGGTCTTTGGTAGAAAGATTATGGTTTATTAGGAGCGTTTAAGAGAAGACTACACATGAAAAGGTGAAGACCACTGTACAGGGAAAGTGTACATCGTGTCATTGGAAAATATGTTTGCCCGAAAAAAGAATACCAGTGGGAGCTGTTCTCATTTGTTACATTTCATTTCGTAGTTTATTTGTTCGTTAAATTCATTGCCTTCTTGTCATTCATCCCACCTTGCCTTCAACACAGCTAACCAGGTTCATGTGTGTCAACATTCTACGCCAACATCAGGTGCCTAGCTGCCATGCCATCCGAAGGAAGCACGAGGGCTGGGACCTTCGGGTCAGTAAATTCACGCTCTAACCACTGAACCATCTTGCCTACTCATTACGTCTTTCGACAGTAATAACCGTCAAAGCTTATGAGGCCAAATCAGAGATGACGGTAAACCTGAACTGCACAAGAACTTGGAGGAGTTCTAGAAGACGGCGAAAAAAACTAATCGCTGGCCTTTTTGTCACATGTCCTCTGAAATGAGAAATGCAGACGGCGTCCAGTCGTACACTACTGTCCAGAATACTCACCCCAAAATATTCATATTATCATCTCGAAAAGAGGTGACTTGGTCTTGTTTTAATGTTTTGCACTTAATTCGGATGAAGTGCTCAGCATAGGGTTATACTCGATGGCTGTATAGAACCTAATAAATAACGTTCTTTTCCAACGGCAAAAGTTACACTGAGTAAAGCGTTATGAGGGGTTTGTCTCCTCTTCCAAGGATACATTTTTGATTTTATGAAGGTTGCATTTATTTTTATTCGACCTCTACTTGACTTTGGACCCCAGTAAGTGACGAATGTAAACTGTGTCTCGGTTGGAGGTCACACGGACCACACACAGCTCACACAGTATTGTGCCAATTAGTGAGACCCGCACAAAAGTTTGAATGTCGTCCAACATGTGGTTATCGACAAAAATAACCAAACACGAATTATTTTCTTTGGGGTTCTATGGACAACAGAAGCGCAACCATGGTCTGTATGACAGAGTACGTCCAACCTCAAGACTACTAGGCTTCTTCATGCAGGACATCTTCATTTGTGGCTGAGTTTTATGGGCTTCGGGTAGCTATCCAGCAGGTCACCATTTTAAGACATATAGGTGTGCAAGTGCTAAACTTTAGAGAGTGGACGATTTGCACAAAGAAACTCCCAGAAAGTATGCCGTGATGAAGCTTCCGTCCTGTCAGTCTATGCTGAAAAGCGGAAGTCGTTTCAATCCTATTGATAATCATCGGCAGTGCGCATCTCACCAAACTCAAAAGGGTCTCGAAGTCACAACTTCCCTGCTAGTAATCCGAACAATTGGCCGCTCGGCAACGAGCGCCCAGTCACCGAGTCTTTTGTTTCGTTTGGGTTCGAACCCCAGCTGTGTATCTGTTGCCAGTCCTTAAACGGAACCATATTTATGCTAGCTAGTCAACCTTCATCGTGTCCAGCATCTCTCGTCATTCAGACCCTTTGATAAGCTTGACTGTGAGCAGAGAACGGGATAATTTATCGCCGAGTTACATTCAGTGTAACAAATAAGACGGAGAAAAATAACAGTCTGTGGAAGGAGAATCGTCCTCTGGTACATAGTCTTTTGTTCCTCCTCATTTCCCATCAGAGCATGAGAGAGAGCCAATGCATGACATCAGAAAGCCAGCGACCTTGTACTGGCCAAAAGATGTTCACGGCGTAGCAACTATTACTCATCCTCATTAAACTGTGACTCACCACAGCATCGCCGTCATTTATTGCTATTTTTATTCTTCCGGGGAAAATGTTTTTGCATCGCGTCCATTCTTCTACATATTCACAATACATAATAAAATTGACTCCAATCGTTGACATGGAAAGCTTCATTACCGGTTGCGTTCACATAATTAAGACAAACAGACATAAAATAGGGGTGAGACTCGTATCCGAGGCTTGTGGCTTGTTGTATGTGTACTCCACAAGGTAGTTATTGCTGACGCTGGTGTACGTTCACGCGTGGACCTAGCCTCCGAATGGATTCATCATATGACTCTCCAGTCAGGTACAACTGGTTCCAGCAATGTGCCCTTTTCTAAAGTACGTAAAAATCATATCAAGACAGATATTGTGTGTTCACTGCCAGTAGATTAGTTACAGTATGGTGGGTTCTATACAACACACACGTATGTATTCGGATAGACAATACAAAAACTGTTTGAAATAATGATGTGTTATTCTCATCGCTGCATTCTATCTTGAAGAGATTGAACCCAATAGGATGTGTATCGCTTTGACTCTTAATGTACGCTGCTCTGTGTTGTCTATTTCAGAAACATCACTGTTTCGCATAAAAACAGTACCACGATGTGAACCACAGAGTCGTATAGTCTGTCTGGAAACTGGACGTTGCATCTTCCTAAATACCAGTGAAATCATCGTTCCAACATCAGGTGAACCTTTGTAAAATGGATTCCGATGACAGCTATGAGACAACATCAGAAGTGTCACCCGACAGGGAAACCAGATTCTCTTCATCCAGTAGCCATGAAAGCGTGAATCGTAACAGCACCGAAATTCGAGATTTGTATCTTTCTGTGTTTTCCGGGGCTGAACCAAGTGCTCCAAGCCTGAAGAATCAGCTGGACACACTTCGGGCAAAAGTTCAAGGTATGTTTTCACTTTTTTTCTGTCAAAAACGGAATAATCACTCCCAGAACAAACTACAAAAATTCAGGCCCTAGAATGTGAGAGGACCAAGTTGTTGGAACAGAAGATACAACTATACCATTCACTTGAGAAGAAAGAATGTGAATTGGTCGATTTCATGCAGTCGTACGAACAGAAAGCGAAGGATATTGCTCAATACATGCAGAAGGTTGGTGCAATCTGAGTGACAACCCCTAGATGGCTTCACGTGACTTGTGGCAATGTTAGTTATCCATGTATCCAATTAACGTTTTGGGCTTTTAGCACCAGAACACCTGGGTGCAAACTCCAGAAACTTGGCGTCAAACTATGCATTCGTCAGTCAAACTCTGGTTTGTTCTTGGGATTTTAATCAGAAAATGGTAGTGATTTTGTGGAGACACAGAAGTGATAGGTCCGCATCTGTAAAAACAGTCCCGAAAATCGCGACAGGAGCAGAGTAACATGCCAACTAATTTGTAAAAGTTCGAGAGTTCTTACATCCATATTGCAATTCATCAGATTGCTGCTGATGATGCCGCTGAAGCACGCTTTGGGTATTCGTCGTAACAAAAAAGAAACTAATACACCATGTGGAGTTCCGTGCATGATGTATGCCTAATCTGTTAGTTCCGCATTGTGTACTGTGCAGATGTCATTCGATGATCGTTAATCCTGTTCGATAACCCATGAATGTTTAAACTTCTCCATCGTGGTTGTACAGGAATGGACGCTACACATTCTGTTATTGCTAATAAGTCTGGTTGTACGATGAGTGTATGTTTATTACACGGCTTCATTCGGTACCACTGCAATTCAATGTCCAGGGCTTGATGTGGTGGCCTCTTGCACGTTGGTTGCGTCTCTCACTCGACTGTCGTGCGCGCGCTCAACTACCGTTGCAACTCCTTTAGCCAACATATCTTTGAATGCAATCCACAAGTGTGGGAACTGCAGCTAGTTTGATCCCACAGGCCATACGCCTGGGGATCCTAATAAATACTTTTGACAAAACTCATTGCTAATTAATGTCATGGGCTACTTTAGAGCGAATAACACTGCACTGAGTGGTGACGGAACCAAGACGGCAAGTCCCTGCTGCGTTGCGACCACTTTGCTGTGGAACCTCATTCTATGCGCATCTGATTAAGTTCGTAATGGAAAGATTACTTCGTTGAGTAATCCGTTTAGGGTTAGCATGTCTTTCTAGTCAGTTGATGCACAAAATTTCGCACAGTCAGTATTGCTGCACATCGATTTGTCCGGGATTTCTGATGAGTTCTGATAACCTGATAAGACTCTATTTTCAGAAGTGGTTGGCTTGCAAATTCACCTTGAATTCGGTGGCCAACAATCCGCTAATAGGAAACGTAGTAGAACGTGCGATTTTTCTGTCTAGTGCGGCACTAAAAAACAGAAGTTATACTGATTTTGCTAGATAATTATGAAAGGGATTTAACGTAATTCGAAGCGAGTCATAGGAAATATGTGTCAATGGCGTCGAAAGTGTAAAATCAAACATACTGCACGAGCAACACCTGTACTGGGCACAGGAAACATGATATAATTTGTTATACCCTTTTTCATAGACTTCGTTTTTTGTCTTACTGTCCCTCAAGAAGAATGCCTATCAGTTCGTTTTTTTGTAGTGCTGGTTACCTGCCGCTGAAAAACTCCGCTTCTCCCATCAGTCACGGACTTACGACGAAAATTCTACACAGCGTTGTAGTTTTGTCACTGAGAATAAATAATTAATCAGTGTTTGAAATGAATGACTATTGGAGGCACTCCGTTGGGTAGTGGTCGTTCCGAAACCTGAGTACAGAACCTGACTTGTGGAGGATATGCCTCATTTTAAGTCTGTGTCTGTCGTTTCTTCTATGTTCCTGCTCCGGTGGTGTGTCGGACTCCATAGAAGAAAAGGTGTCTGAGTACCATTAGAAGATAATGGACAGTGCAAAGGAATTGATCCACATATTCAGTCATTCGATCAGCTCTAACACTGTTTAAGTAGCTGGCTGTCATGTCACTCGAAGGAATCACGAGGGCTGAGATACTGTCAGGTTTCCAAAGCCTACACAGGAAGCAGTCAAGATGTTCGCGTTGGGATCGAACTACGGACTTTCCGGTCAGTAAATTCGCACCTTAACCACCAAGCCACATCGAGCTCAACCTAATTAGTATGGATATGTGAAAGGGTGAGGTATCTTTCAAAGCCAAAACTCCTCAGAATGAAGTCAGTTTTCTGAAAGCGCGAATTGTTCCATAGCCTTACAAATTTTTTTCTTCTACCACAGGTTCAGGGTCTGCTTGCACAATTGACGGATTTCTTCCCCGAGCATTTTGAAGAAAAGCCCATTGAGTTCGATGTCGACAAGTCTGCCGCTGGTGGAGAAGTGACCTCTGGACAGATCGATTCGAAGTTGCATAAGCCCAACGGTACATTTCCGTCTGAATGCAAACTTCGAGGCGAACGAGGGCGTGACATACTTCGCGCCCTAACAGCCTCTGTTGCAGCAGCAAGCGCCAGTAACAGACAGAGCGCAATAAACCGTTCTTCGGAACACAAAAGTTAGTTTACTTCAGTACCCTTTTCCATATCCACTGCCCTTCTGTCTGCTTAGTGTTTAAACCGTTGAATCAATTTACATGGTAATTCGATCGCGCCCGCAGTTCTCAGATCACTTTTTAGTTTGTTTTTTTGTTTCAAGGATATTGCGCGTCAGTTCGTTGACATTCGTCTACTACCTGTGCTTTGCGGAATAAAAATTGTGATAATTTTTCTGTGGATTTCACACAGCTTAAAGGGCGGATACATACACATTTGGCAGCAGGAAGTTTCTGCGTTTATAGCCACTGAACGTTTTGCGGTTCGTTTTGAATGAAGGTGCAGCGAAGCGTGAACAATGCCACGAATCCACTTTATGTTGGGAGGACGACAGTGTCCTTGCCACCTTATTATGGAATAACTCGTACGACTTTGTGGGACATTCTACTCGTAAGGTTTCTGAGAACTTCCCGACAGCCCACGAGCAATTTTACTCCTCTTGGGCTCATTAGTTAGGCGCAGTCCCCGTTTCGTCAATCTTATGTTTTACTTGATCCTAAATTGTATGTGATCCGTGAAGTGCACTCAACAGCAAATTAATTTGCTTTTGACATGAGAGTTAACAGGATGCAGCTGGATCGTTCGTTTATAATATTCTTCAAAGTAAGTTTGACTGAAATTCATGGACTACGCCTGTCTACTGAACCCTAAGTTGAGTGAAACACTTCGTGGGCTGTCGACCATTTTTAATAAAATTTTGAGTAGAGCTCTGTTAAGAAAATATACTACGATACCTCTAATATCGCGTCAACTAATAATGGGGTTGCATTCCTTGCAGCGCATGCAGTTGGAGAATGTCATAAACTAGAGACAAACCTGGGATTTAGTTCATTCTCTGAGCAAAACCAAATTAGTTTCTATGATGACTGTATTTCTTGAATCATCTGGTGCTCTGAATTTAAACTGAATAAATGGCAGTTTACGTCATTTCCACTCAGCAACGAAACTGTTCAGATTTCAGCCTTTCAAAGTTTTGCCATTTTGAATCAAACTATTGAAAGATACATAACTTTCTTCCTTCAAAAGTTCATTTCAGGGAACTCTATTCGTAGATGCAATACACTACTCATAAGGTTGCTGAAAAGTCTTCGACAGCCCACGACCGATTTCGCTCTTCCTGGGGTCATTATGTAGACACATTCCCCAAGATTCCGTCGACTTTATGTTATACTTGAACCCAAATTTCACGAAACTCGACATTTACATTCACCTGCAAACCAACTTTATTCTGACAGTAGACTCACCTTGAGCCCAGCTGGGTTCTAGAGGTCTCTTGGAGATTTGGGTCAAAACTTTGCACATAATCCCGAAAAATCTCTGACCACGCTCTAATACTATGACATAGCTTTGAGTTGCGAAAAATTAGGTTTATCAACACAATCTTTCAGTGCGACTGTCCGGGTGTTCAGTATGGATACAAGCCAGTTCGTTTACACGTAACTACATATAACTCCTATCTGCAATATAAAGTTCGCCGTACGGACACATCCAATATCATTCTATCCGTTAAGTGTGCTCCTCTGTATTCCTCAGGAAACATCGAGTTTATTAATTTATGATTTCTTTAACAAAATGTGAAACTTCCTTGGATGTTCAACCCCTCCCAGGTTCCTGAGATTAGCAACGCAGTGCAAAATAGTATCACAAGGTTAGCCGACTTACTGATTTCATTGCGGATATCTCGTGGCACGGTGAGTCGGTTTCACACATGTCCGCACTGGTTCTGTCCGATCACAGACCAGATGGAGATGGTTCGGTGGCTTAGGAGCGAGCGTAGTGGCCGCGGTTCGAGCCTAATCTTTGCATCTCGACTGCTCCTGACTAGATTGGACTACTTGGCATTTTGTCCTCCCTTGCTTCAAGTGGTAAGGCGACTAGGCACCAAAAGTGTGTGTTGCAGTCGGATGATCAGCATTCGTATTTTCAGGCCAGTTCTGCACAGAGTGAGGTCTAATTCCAATTCCACATGGTACTATCGTACAATAGGTCGAGTCCGAATCCCTCGAGGTGTTTTGAAAGGTTTTTACTACACCATCTCCAACTATTCACTCTCCACGATACACAGTGCTGCTGGAGTGAAATGACCAAACTTCTGACTTGGTCCTGTTCATTCTCGATGGTCTTTAGATCATCCTGAAACACCTCGCTCCATGCACATTTCTGGCATGGATGGCATGCGGGATAATTGAGGGAATTGTCACTTCGACATTTGGGATATGAGTCTGTTGGTGTGTTCGGAACGAATTCCAGATCATGTGTTAAACTAATTGTAAAATAACACAATTTCGATGTTACGCGCGGAGCGAATCAGTCCATCGAGTATTTCCTGATATTTTGCGGAATAAAAAATAATCTCTTTTGGGAGCCATTGTCGGAAGCACCCGGTTCCCCGAGCATGGATTAAGAACAAGAAAAAAAATGCGCATCTGTGCAAGTGTGGAGGATTGTTTGTCATGTCTCGGTCTGTGCTGTATCACTTGATTTCTGTCTAATTCAATTTAGGGAAATACGATCAAAAAAGGAAACGAAACTGCAAAACACACTTAAGGTGTTTTTTCTGTGCAAAAAGTAAACGATATTTTTCTTCGGAGACAGTGTGCCTTCCGTTTCGTTGTTTCACCGTTGACCGCTGAGTTACAAGAGTAGTTTTATTCTCTGTTACTTGAGACATGTTTTTTTTTTAAAAAAGACAGATTTTCCACTCATGGTGTTCGTAAGAGGTTGATTTCTTGCGTGTTGTAAGTATAACAAGAATGTTGTTCTTCACTGAAGATGGCAAACTAAACTTGAATAAAGATTTTTAAATATGCAGAAGAAACCGACAAGATTTTTTCACCAAAGGCGGGTTGTCAAACATTGGTCTTTGGCTCGGACATCCCATGCAGTTTAAATTTTTATGAATGACAGTGTTGTGAGTAGCTTCCGCTATCCCTGTGACTGTTCCTTGGCTGACTAAACAGCTCCTGCCTTATGAACAAAAAGCACTAAAATTTGGGTATGAATCTCTGTTTAATGTGTGCCACAATGCTCCACACACATTTCACGATGCAGTTGAAGGTGAAAATAGCCTCAGCTAATGTTTTTTGCCTGGCAGCCGCATATTATAAAATGGATCAATCTGGAAGATGACCTCCTCAGTTCAGCTTGTTGAAATTTGTCAGGTTTAGTGAACGACGTCTGACTCTAGCTTGCATTTGGTTCAGAGATACGAAGTGCTGATATTTTCTCAACAAGGACAAAGCCGTTGTACATTGCTGTTTAGCTTTTCAGAATAGATTGACTTCTTTTGCAACACGTGGTCGCGATAAAGCTGTCTAAATCAGCACGCCGCCCATCTCTAGACACTCAGATGGGATAGTTGCACCCATCATATTGTTGCCATTCCTGTCAGACCATTAACCAGTTTGCATAATGAAGAAAGAGCCTTAAAAAGCGGTGAAAAAAGTATGGAATAAAACCTCGGCTGACAAATGCGACATGCCTTGTCGGAAAGACTTTCTCCTGATCGATTTTTGGGCGAAACACAATTCAGAATAATTTGCTTTGGTCCCTTCCGTACAGATTCTACTATCCAAAGTTTAAAAACAAACTTCAAGAAACCGGAATCTTTACATGGAAATAAGGTATATCGAGCGTTTCATCGATTCGCCTTACAAGAACAATAACCACAGTCTGAATCCATGTCGATCCATGTGCGATCAGTTTGTACTGATTAGTTACTTATCAGCAATGCGTCGGACAACATCATTCGTTCCCAACAGATTTCTTTGCGTAAGCTTACGAAATACTTGTCTATCAGCAACATAAAGAGTACCGCTCACAGTCACTCCCGATCCAGCTCTTCAGAAGCATGTTGAGGCCAAAACATGTCGGAAAATCGGTTTCAATACTGTTTAGTACGCTTTGCAAAGTTTGACAGATATCAATCAACTTCCCCTCTATCTGAAGGAAGATGGCGAAAGGAGCTTTTAGGATCACAAAGTCAAACTGATTGATATTGTCTAGGGTTGGAGTAGCCTTAAAAATGAGGAGATGATTATAGAAGCATGGGAGAATGTTGCAGATTAGATTTTTTGTACTTTCGTCCACCTGCTTTAGAAAGCCAAGACGCCAAACATCTACTTTAAATCAGGCAACCTTCTTCCTGCTGGGTCTGTGAGCATAGGCAACACTCGTCATAGCTGGTGCCTTATCAGATTGTATGCAAAAATTAACACACTTCTCTTAACCCCATCGCCACTGAACATTTCCGATCGAGAGTACTCACCTAGAAATAGCGAGACTGCTTTTGGTTCGCAGAATTCATGGACCTTTTTGAGGCTCTTAAACAGTTGATTGGCATTTTTGTTTTCTCCCGTAGATTTGTCAGTTTAGAGTGCTCGTGTCGGAGGATATGACAGAACCTCATCAGTAACAGCTGCATAGACACAGATGGGGTAACGAAATATTGCAATTTGAAGAAACCAAACTTTTATTTGTGAACAAGCCCAGAAATTCACACAAAGTGTGCTCTCATGCGGCTGCCATCTGTGTTATTTTTCATCTCATGAAAGTGCCATCATAAAACACTGGCTCCGTTTTCGGCGACTTTTTACATGAGCATCTAATCTTACTGACTAAATGAAATTGCATGTGGTCAGGTCCCACATTCACCAGGTGTTGTGTTCTGGTTGGTACTCGCGCTGACGCGCATACTGTGGATTGAATTCATTTTTTTACTTTTCGCCCCATAAAAGCAGCACATTAAACTGGCTCAACCAAAGCATCATTCCACAGTTTATCAAACAACCATACTTTTGCCAATCAATTTGGTTTTCACGAGAGACTCAACTGAACCTCTCGTTTATGATATTCTACAACTGAATGTACTGCACACAGGCCCTCTCATGCTTCAGTTGGCACGATAGTCGAGATATCGCAGTATGTTTTCATAAAGGAAACTGCTCACAAGGTCGAAGAGTTTTCAGCAATCTTGTGAGTAGCTTTCTTTATGAAAACTATGGTTTTGCTTAGCCGTTCAATATAGGGGATTCAAATGAACGAATCCCGCTAGAGTTTTGGCCAAAAGTTTGCCCGGATTTGATTGATCTAATTTGGCCGTTTGTTCCTCAAGCTTTTACGTCATTCAAAGGAGAAATCACGTGTATGTTAACAAGAAAAACGAACTCACAGAAATAGGAGGACAGAAATCAGTTAAAAGACGCAGTGATTATTGTGCTCTAGCCTGATGTTGTCCACTGCAGTATTCCATTGAAGTTAAACCTGAGTCCCTTGGATGAATGGGGGAAAGTGAGATAAAATGAAGCTTATTATAGCTGTCCTAATAAGAAAGTCCCTAACTCTAATTTTTTTATCGAGCGCTATCATTTATCTAGGAAATAATGAAAAGCCCCAAGGCTGTAGTGAATTTGTCCTCTATCGATCTTGTTCTTAGTGAAGAACTCTATAAAGTACCTCGCTGAATCGCTGTTGATGTCATAGCGGAGTTCCACGGACTCCCCATGATTGCCTCTTAAACTCTCCAAGCAGTAAATAGCAGTTGTCACCTCATACAATCAACAATTTCACGACTAGTTTTCTTTCGATCTTCCGGGCATTCTATTGTAAGGTTAAAAGATTTGTGGAATTTTCAGGAATCAAACAGCGCGTATTAAAATGTGTTTTGCCAAACAGCTGACACCTCTGTTTGGTAGACGCCTTTGAAGCTGTAGCATTCCCCAAAACCGGCAGTCGTTTGAGTGTGAAAAATTCAATCTAAGAATACGCCAGCTGTCGATGGGTAAACTGTCCATAATGAACCTATTTATGAGGTGTGACTTGCATGATCAGCTATCAGTCACTCGATTTGTAAACCGACGGATTCATCCGGTAATTAACGAACCGTCAGACAGGGGCTAGCCACATCTTGATTACCACTTAAGATAGTAAACAAGACGAAATCCCCCCTATGGGGAAACCTTTCTCGTAACGTGCCGTTTCCCTTTTGGTTGGAAGTATTTTGATTGATGCGAGGTTTTCTCAATTGGTCGAGGTAGTTCATCGCAGTACACCGATAATAAGAAAAACGATTTTTGAACCAAGCGCATCTTTTTGTCACGTGAATGAAATCGAAAAAATTCTCACAAGCCTAAGGTGGCCCATTTATTTCAACGTGATAATTCGCTAGTTGAACTAGTTTGCGGCCGAAAAGATCCATGTTAAAAACCCGAGCAAAAGCAGTTTAGTTGTTGGCCCGAGCAAAGTGGCCTAGAATTCTGCCTCTTATTAAAAATCTTAACCGGTCCGTTCAGTAGTAATTTAATATCTTAGCGACAGAATTCTTCATTTCCTTTTCCGTTTGTGCACAGTCGATTGGGTGTTCTTTCCCAGACGCGATTTGACGCGTGGAACATGAAGGAACGGCAACTGTCAATAAGGGGCTTTCTTTTTTCAGGCTACCACCATGCATCCTGCGGTGCACTGTGACTGGCGTCAAAATTTTTCCACTTCCGTCGGGAATTTCTTCCAAAAATCAGGCTTTCCACCCAGTTACGCGAGCGTGTGTTTGCTTTTCAAAAAGGGCTCATTAGAGACCAACCACTGCGATTTCATTGTTTTTTGTTGAACCGAAATGTTTTTTAGATGGAAACGCGCAAAAGTGGTCACAACTTACACAATCTTGGTTTCATCTAGGATAGAAAGCTTTGTAATCCCCACCACTGTGTAAGAGTCATTTTGATTTCCTCGGGAAGCAGACTCGGTATACGTATGTGATCCAAAGTCAGTTGTGGTAAAACAGACTAAACACACCTGTTGCATGGAGAATAGTTTCACAGATTTCAATAACCTTTTGGCCTTAGTAACTCCCCTCTTTCGAGTACAGCTCGGTGCAAAGGCATATAACACCCATAAATTGCTTGAAAAATTCGGCGAAGAGCGCTGTGTGCATTAGTAACATGTCACCATGACACTATGTTACGTTTCCCGCTTTCTACAGTTTTTGTACAAAATATTGGGATGTATTAAGGTAACTGTTTTCAAACTGACTTATCCGGTTCATCGTCCGCGCCAAATTGACCGAAATAGATGAATCGGGCCGTTTTGTATCGGTTCACAAAAACACTACCAACTTCACTCGGAGACTACAACTCTGCCTGTTTTCTCAACTGAAGTATCATACAACTGCGCTGAAGTATCGTCGAGTTTACCTACACCACTATCGAGTATCTTCAGACGAGCAGACGAAAGTGTGTGGAGTCGCAAGAAAATCGATGCACTTTAGGCCGAAATATAACCTAATCTATTTGACCAATGAACAACATTGGTCAGGATCAATACACGCTCTACATGAATAGCTCGGCATTGGACATCTGATCACAAGCGAATTCACCCGCAGGATCTCTTACACAACCGCAATAATCTCCACCTTAACAACTGTTGTATTTCTGCGCAGTTTTCCAGGTCGCGTGAGCATGCTGAAATCCAATTGCCTTGCTACTTGCTTCCACGGATGGGTTGCCCATAATCAAGTCACGTGTTCCAATAGCTATGGTCAACTAAGTAAGGGTGATTCGATTGGTTCGGTCGTGAATGATCAGCTGACGGAAATTTTTGTGCACCTCATTATGGACCCCACGATATAATTATAGTATCATCCATGATTTCCACCATAGTTCCATCACCGGTGACTATAGTTAATTATAACCAGAATTCACAGAACACACTAGTTATCAACTTTTGCGAAGTTCAAAAAATTAGAAGGAGGCACACACAATTATGGGACCATCACACCGTCTTGTTTGGAGGAGGTTTTATGAAACTTCTGGACGATTTCTTCACAAACCTTATCGCTCTATCCCTCATAAAAACGTGGATGACATTTTGACTGGCCATCACTAGCTCCGAGTAGCTTGCATCTATGCGCACTCCTTCTGCTGGTGTACCACACGAGGTTCTGATCGAGCGAACATCGTGACCATGTGTTGACCAGGAAATAGCGAAGAATACGGCTGTCGGTGATGTGGTAGTAATGTCTTGTCTAAGTATCAAGCCCCTTGGTCAACTGATGACAACGACAGGCAATTTTGAATATTTTACTATCCAACTGGAAATCATGATTCATACATTTTTATCAGAATGTAAGAGGTAACCGCTTACCTTCGGTGCGGCCACTGAGGACGTAAAGAAATGGCACATGGAGCGATAACATTACTAAGCTAAGGTAAAATGAAGGAGTATTTTGGTCCTAAATGACCGGGTGTTGAACGCCTTCTATCTTAGATTGAATCATTCTTCACTGGCGTATGAATATCGTGAAAGCACGAGATATAACACGGCGAAATTGGTTCCAGTCAGTATGCGCTGAATTAGATTCTAACTGACGAAATGATCCAATGATCAGTAGTGAGCGGTCAAAACGACTCTTCAGTGATTTTGGAGTGCATACCGTTTCCATTTATCCATTGGTCCATTTATTATGGACCAAATGGTCTGATATTTGAGCAAGACAAGTTGAGCAAGATTCACCCTCGTCGCATCACCAACGGTCATATTCTTCCTCTCCAATGATCAGCTTGCGTTTCTGGGTTTTACTCTATTAAGACCTTTTAGCTGATTTACTACAGGAGGGAGTGTTCATAGGTTCGAACTTCTCTGACATCAGAACTTAGATGGTAGCTGGCAATGTTGTCGGATATAGGTAGCTTGGGTGCGCTGATTGGTTGTTGGTCTGTTCGCCGAGCTTGGCAGTTGAATCACCAATCGAGGCGACAACGTCAGTGACGGTGTCATTCGTCACATCATTACTGACCATGTCACCCCGACTGGCGATGAAACTGCCAAGCTCAGCGAACAGACCAACAACCAATGAGTTGGTAGCTGTTCTGAAAGTGTAATGGAAAAACTACACAGTTGTGTACACAGTTGTGAATGGTATAACCTAGATGAGTGTACACGAGTGGTAAAAATAATGTCAACAGTAATATTGATAATGATAATATCATCTCCAAACAAGATCATGCCTTTAAATGGTCTCAGCATTTTGTTGTGTTTGAGATGAGTTCGCATCCGGCAATTTATTCGGTTTTAGGAGATTTTCTCCGGTGAATATTTTAGACTCTGTTTTGAGTTCGTTGTGTTCCAATCATCTCATCCTAATTTGAGGACATAAATGCACTGAACGTTTTCTAGACGATCGGCTTCTCGGAGTAATCTTCACCAGAAATGTTTATCAAGCGGATTCATGCTTTTCCGAATAGGTTTACACCTATTTCCATAAAGGAACCTACTCACAAGGTTGCTGAAAACGCTTCGGCATCCCATGGCCGGTTTCACCCTTCTTGCGGCTCATCAGATAGGCGCAGTCTCCCGAGTTTCCGTCAACCTTATGTTCTACGTGAACCCGAATCGGACTGTTTTCAAGAAACACACTCATTTTCAAATCAATTTGGTTGTCACGAGAGACTCAACTGAATCTCTCGTTTATGGTATTCTACGACTGAATTTGCTGCACACAGGCCGCTTCATGTTTCAGTTGGCACGATATTCGAGATGTCACAGAATATTTTCATAAAGGAAACTATTCACAAGGCTTACACCTATTTTTTAGGCATGTCCTATATCAGGTAATTCTTAACTTGTGAGAAAGTTACGTGATGAATGTACACAAAGGTTTTTCCTGACGTAACTAGCACGTACTCACTCCCACTTAAAGCTGATATTCATCTACCTGAACACACCATCGTCACAACTTTCATGAGCTACAAATAGGGAGGCCCGGTAGCTACTGTTTACAGCATATCAACAAGCCCTTCTGCCCACTTAGCACCTACAGTTAACATGACATTTAAGGACCTAATATTTCCGATTGCTTTTGAGTTTGATGGACCTAAAAAAACGCTTTCCGTTGGAGCAGATTAGGAGCTATTCGTGTGACTATTTGATTGATGTAGTCCGCTGTTGCTTCACTTTTTATCCCTTTCCGTATCATCAATCAGCCCTATTCGCTGTTCTTATTTGTATTCCTTCGGATAGTTTTCGCAGTCATATTCAAAGCACAATTCACTCTGGGTTTTAGACTTTCCTGCGCCAGATCGCTGGTCGTAAATTTATTTTGATTGTGGCGTTGTTATCGTTAGTTAGATTGTAAAATGTGGGTTGCAGAAGCTATTCTCCATTGTTTTTCGGATTGATCGTTTGCTGTTTCAGATGTTACTTTCATTATTACTATTTTTATCTCAAATCTTGATTTCCCACTCGACTGGTTGTCATGAATGAACGAATCACGTGATAGTTTATCTGATAAGCCCGGGGAACTCGAAGGTTGCACTAACCTGATGAGCCTTAAGATGGGTGAAACCGGTCACGGGAAAAGTCCGCTCTATTTTTTATCTACGCAGACGTTCATATTAGGGCCGACAACTGCTTCCAATTCACTAGAACGTCATTCGGAAATTTGTGACTGGTCGCTCCATGCCAATTGGATGGCCTTCAATGGGGAAGAAATCTTTAGTGTGACTGGAATTCGACATGGTACGGATTCGTGATGGATGACCATTGAAGTGTTGCAGCATCACCTCACGCTGAAATCGCTATGTGTGAGGCAATTATTCATAAAAGTGAATGCATAAAGCCACCTTGCTCAAAATGTTGTTGGTGCAATCCAACCAAATATGTTCAGGTACGGGATGTATGGGATGTATTCGCTGCATAGACTGACTGGGGAAAATTTGAATTGGTTTGGTTACCTCAGTCGGTGGTTCAAGTCAGTTGTGGGTGTTTATACTTCATTATGGCAGCTGCCTGAAATAGACTGCCCTGATTTCAACTATGTTGATTCCGGAAGTTATTTTCATGAGAGTGTAAAGCACTGGTGGGTAAGATCCGGTACCATCTTTGGTGTACCTAGTTGCCCGTTCTGGACCGAATTCAGATACACGATTACAACTGAATCTGAACAAACTGGAAGGCTTCTTGCTTGCATATTGAGACCGAATAGGGCTCATTAGCGTGTTATCTTTATGAACGTGGTGATAAACTTGTGAGATCTTGCCTCCGAATTGAACCCAAACTGGCGACATACGTCCCTCGTCAAACTTGTCATATCGATTAGACGGAAACTTGCTCTGTCTCTAGGTTCTGACACTTTACACACTTTCAATTGTGATTGAACGATTGTCTTTATCGCTCAGATATTTTACCAAGCAAGCAAACGAAACGACGATAAATCTGTGTTCCTGAAACGGCTGTGAGTGAAATAAGCTTGACTATGAGCTTGAACGAAGGATTGCAGTTTTCGTTAACTGGAGGATTCATCACTTTTGTTTAACCGTAAAACTGTCCAGAGGTTTGACTCAACTAACTATGAATCGCACAAATTCAATATAAGATTAAAAAGTTCTAATACACTACTCATCAGTTTTACTGAAAACTGTTCTGCAGCCCACGACCGGTTTTGCTCTTCTTGTGGCTCACCATGTAGGCGCCGTCCCCGAGTTTTCCTCAATCTTATGTTCTATTTGAACCAGAATTGCGCGAAATTTGCGAAACACTGCAAGCAAATTTGCCTTTGCTTAAAAACACCATAAACAAGAGATTCATGGATTTGCGTCAACCAACTGCAGATCACAGATCACATATAAGATTCAAAACGCTGCTTATCAGCTCCTAGTTGTGCTTGGAGATATCGGATTGTCAATGAACAACAGCCTAACGAAGCGGCATGAATGCTTGACCTTTGTTAGTACTAAAACCCCAGACAAGTGCTCGCCGCCTTAGAACATCGAACACATATCGAGACAGATCAATGGGTTGCACTTCAACGCCGACTGAAAGTTCTGTCAACCATTACCATGCAAGAACTGCAGCAAGCAGTAGTCCGACAACTATCATGCTTTTTAACACCAGTGTTACAAGAACCCAGATATGAATTCAGCCCGTCACCGTAGAACAGTAGCAATTTATGCGATCATGTTGACACAGGCAGACTTGGGACCTTTCGATCCCACTCGCAACGGATAAGCACAACTACATTAGATGAACGTGCAATGGGTTCTTCCATAGAGAAAACCACTCACAAGGTTGCTGAAGACTCTTCGACAGCCCACGACCTGTTTCGCCCTTTTTGAGGCTCACCAGTTAGGCGCAGTCCCCGAGTTTCTGTCACGCTTATGTTCTACTTGAACGCAAGGTGGACTGGTTATGACAAATACACTCATTTGCAAATCAATTTGGTTTTCACGGGAGACATCATAATCAATGAATGTATTTGTGCTTGGGTTGGTATTCACGCTTTCAAAATGGTGCCATACTGAGGAGCCTTGTATCCATCGTTGGGATAAATGGCCTAACTTCATGCGTGAATGATTTTCGGGTAGAGGGTGATGTCTTTCCAAAAGTGTCAAGCTAAACAGACAATTTAATCACCGATCTAGAATTAAGCATACTTGACAAATCCAAATCAGGATGAAACAAATTAAACGCTTTCCGTAGGTTTTCACATCCCAAACACTTTTCACTTTTATCTACAGTTGTTCACTTTAACATCCAATTAGCTATCTGGTGCTATATCTATGCTATGAGTCAGTTTGAACGGAGTCCAGATTTCACCTCCAGGGGGAAATGATAGCACATTACAAGCCAAAAAAACAAAGGAACGAGGGTGAAAATCTCTAATTTGGATATCTATCGGTTTCCTTCCAGATGTTGTTAACTTAACATGGAGGTCTAACTGTTCCCTTCTGGTCAATCCACGAGACATCTGATAGATAAATTTTAGATCAACTGACCCTGTATGATTTTGTGGAGGTCTTATAATCGACCTTGCAAATATTTAGAATTTTAAGTGGTCACAGTATTCCTGACTTGTTCGATCTGGCTTCCTTTCACCCCGTAACGAAAGTAACGTTCCGAAATACTACAATTACTCGAGGCGCACACTTGACATTCAAACACGGTTACTGCTATTCGTGTTTCAGTCAGTTCTTTGAGGTCCAGTAAGTTTAAAGCAAAACGCCCATTTGACTTTTTGGCAAGCTCGCGCGGCATCTTGTGACTCATTAACTACCAGTGCCAAACAGACGTATGTTTAAACTTATTCAGCCAAGATTGTCTTCCAGCCAACTGTTCTACATACGCAACGTCTGCCTTTTGTGATTTGGCCAGGTGTTGGGTGATCCTGCAGTACAACTTTCCTAGAATCCACATCATAAAGCTAAATCAGTCTGTGTTGAAAAGCTAGGACGCATTGTCTGGTTGTTTTAAAATTGTTCAGAACTATCAGCAGCATGATTTTTTGGAATCCTAGTTGGAGGGCGAAGCTTTTATTTTGAGGGTGAACACTCACTTTAAGTTATAGAAGAATACCCAGCCACATAATTAAGCTTGTAATCAATTAATCAATCAATCAATCAATCAGGGAATCCTAGGGGGAGGGTGAAGCTTTTATTTTGAGGGTGAACACTGTCTTTAAGTTATAGAGGAATACCCAGCCGCATAATTAATTAATCAATCAATGAATCAATCAATCAATCAGTTACCGATCTACGCTTCAGAAAGCTAGATTTCCGGAAAAGTTGCAAGAATCTCAGGCAGGGCTGCATTGAACTTAGTGATCTCAACGTGTGTGTGAAGTGCGTGTGTACACAGTATGGCAAGCGAACGCAGGAAGGATTACAGCCTAGAATGGGAATTTATCTTCTAGATTACGAACAGATTTTTTTGCTTCAGTGAACTTCACTCAAGACAGCTTTAGAATGGCCGCTGCAGTAGTGGCTACTGCTTGCTACAAAATACGTTAGACGTTCCTTGATAAGATACTACTTAGTATCGTTTGTATGCCGTACGTTTCTTGTTCTTCTGTATCAATAACTGCGTTTACTTAAAC